GCATGCACACATGCCTAGTATGAATTTAAGCCACCAGGTTCGGGACTCGAACCACGGTTGACTACATGGGAGTCCAGCTACATAGCCATTATGCCAACTGCTGGTCCCATAGGACTTTTTCTGAGCCTTGGCATTACAGAGCGTGAAGGAATGACCAAAAGAGAGTGCTCCCCTTGACATGGCCCTTGGACCCATTCTGTTAGTGCTGACATCATGAGAGCTGAGAATCTGGGACACTTTCTGACCTTTTGATAGCTTGTCAATGTCATTGGGGACTGCAATCACCAGAATAACTGTCCCTCCCTTCCCCTGTTCCTCTGACTTGGATCATAGGCCTGCAGCTCTGCAGGGAACTTCCGGGGAGCCATCTCTTCCTGCCCAAACTCTTCCTCCTTATCTTCCTCACTGCTCCAGCCTCTGCTTTCTCATTCTGGAGCCATGGACAAGAAGGGTGTGCAGGGGTCTGTCCACACAAAAATCCATACACATGGGCCTTCAGAGGCCACCTGGGCGCACCAGTCCCCAACCAGACCTTGCTGCATTGTCAGTGGGAACTGAGCCTGTGTGGGGCACGTGCCACCACCCCCCAGGACAGTCCTCACACAGTGGGGGATGGAGAGAGTCACTGGCAAAGCTCTGTCCTGAAATGAAGTGTCGACGCAGCTGGGGCCTCACCTGACCCACCTGGGCAGCCTGCCCCTGCCCCTTCACTAGCACTGGCCATCCTGCCAGCCCAGCCCTGGCAAGGCTCAGGACCAGGGTGTCACTAGCTGGCAGGACTGGAATGGACCTGTTCCATGGCATCCTGTGGAAATAGGAAAAGGCCAACTGTTGACACAAGAAATGCTGCCGTCTCTCCTATGCCCTGGCTACTGTTCACCCCAAAGGCCTGGGCTCAATTTGCAAACACTCTAGTGCACATCCTGACCTAATTCATAGTGGGACAAATATATGTGTTTTTCAGTTTCCAGAGGGTGTGTACTCTTGCCAGAGAGAAATAGAGAGGGAGAGGGAGAAAGCACCCCAGTAGGGCTGTAGTCATGTGGCCATCCCCTGTCCTCCATTTGCTTATCCTGTCAGGGTATGCACATATGCACCTGGCATGTTTCTCAAACCCCTAGGGCTGGGATTTGAACTGCAGTCAGTCATTTTGGGTCCAGGTCAGGACAGACCTGAGGGCAGCTGGCTGCTCTGCTCAGGCCAGTCTTCAAGGCACTGTAGATGCTGCTGCTGGTCCCACCTGCATCTATAAGCCATGTGTCTGTTTCTCTGAGTCCTGGCGAGGATGGGGAAAGGACAGAAAGAAAAGGGCAGAGACAGGGGAAGAGAGCAGGGCAGGCTGCCCAACAGAGTAGTTCAGAGAGGTCTAGAAGAAAGGACCTGGGAACTGTCCCTGCCACTCTTTGCCACTGGGGACACCAGCCAGCAACCACTGGTCCAGGAGAGGCCAGCACAATTTGGGGCTGGCGTTCCACCCCTCCCAGAAGTCCCACACCCAGAACTGGACTCCTGTGTCTCCCACCAGCTGTCCTGCCAGCCCTCAGGTCCCCAGGCAGTTAGACACTGGTGGCACAGTTTATGAAGATGCAGTCAGGCCTAGCCAGCACCAAGGCCCCCACTGGTGAGGCCTGTCTTCATGTTCCCCGAGTTGCTCGAATTCAGGCCCTCGAGCGCATCATCCCCAGGCCCAGTGCGCTTGTGCTTTCACAACCCCCCATAAAACAGGACAGATTTCTGAACTTTACTGCTTATAGATCTGTTGCTGTGGCCAGGGATGACTCGAGCAGCAGGGTGCACATGGGATGCAGGGCTGGCTGGCAAGTGGGTGGTAGAGTGTGGGCTGGCCGCTTAGAGTCAGTTTCTCGAAACTTACGTGCTCCACAGTCAGTCGTGGGTGTGTTTGGGCTGCTGAGAGTGCACGCTTCTCTGGGCAACCTGTCCTGTGCCCATCACTGTATGGATAGGGTCATGCCCTTGGCTCACAGCCAGCATCCAGAGACTTGGGAAGCACTGGGTTCACCCCTTTCATCTCACAGGTAAGATACAGCTCCAGGAGGTAAGGGCCAAGCCAGGCCACTTGTAGGGGAGGAGCAGAGGAGAAGGGGCCGGTTTCCAGACTGAAACCAGCTCTCACGGCCTCTTTGGAAAGGCCACCTGCTTGAGGGAGGTGCTTGGTGGCTCACTGGGCACAGAAGGCTTGTGGGAGAGGGTGCCAAGGAGGGCATCCCTCCACCTGGATACTGCTGAGGACTGTGGTATGGGCCACTGTAGTCTGAGTTTGGATTCGTCCCACCGGGCAATCAGTGGAGGGCGTTTCATTCATTTCCAAACTTCAGCGTTGCTGCCTATCAGATGGGAAGTAGTGAGGGTAGCACTCATGACTTGGCAGAAGGTACCCTTGTGGGGAGCTGCTTGGAACAGGCTGTCTCAGGCTGATGGAGTCTCAACTCTGCCTGGCTGACTCCATTTTTGTGGCGACCCGTGGGGTCAGGGCCCCAGGACAGCACATCTGGCTGCCCCTCCCATCTACTGCCTGTCCAGGGCCCTTTGCAAGTGTGGGACACTGCCTATCCAGCCCCATCTCACCCTAGACTAAGGTGGTAGCAGAACAGACATCCAAATGACCCTGGTGACAGAGTCTGCTGATGCTGTCTCCCCAGCGTGGGCCCTTGCTTGGTGCCTGTGCTCCTTCTCCTGACCTCCTAGGCCTTGGGTGTTGGCTGACAGAGCTGGTGGCCCTCGGCACCATCTGGCCATTGGTCTCCCACTAGTCCCTTGTGTCCTGTGATGTGCCAGAGATAGAGGGCTCTGCCTGCAGGATCTCTAGGTAGAGGCAACCTGCAGTTCCAGCCCTAGGTGCTGCAGGGTCCCTGTGAGAACCCCTCAGGCTCTGTTCGTCCCCTGCCTGGGCACCACGTGACTAGGGGAAGCATTTGTTTTCTCTTGTTGCCCACAGGGTCTTGTAGCCATGAAAACCAGTGCCCAGCTTGCTTAGGAAGGACGGCACTGCGTGGCGAATGCCTGCCCTGGTGTGCCCAGTCTAAGCCCTCTTCTTTGGCTTCAATAGAAAACCGTCTGATAATGGTCGGTGACAGTAACAGCATGTCACCAGAAACATCGGAGATAATCTGTAACAAAGTCTGTCTTCCAGCCCCTTAGCACTGTTGCCACAGGCTGGGTGGCAAGTTTCCACCCACTCCTTCCTCTTTGTGCCGTGGTACCTCTCATCATCATCACGGTCTACATTCACAACCCCTTAGTGACAAAAGGGGTCTTTATCCGAGTGTACCAAACTCTTGGGGTCACACCTGAGGGCAGCAGCTATTGTCCTGAGTCTGCACGGAGACAACCTCAGAAGGTGGTCATGCCCACAGTCTTACAGCTGATTCATGCAGCATCAGGATTTGAACCGGGGCTGGAGTGACCATCTCATGTAACCCAGGGAGCCTCAAAGGTTATCTTGGGGCTAATACTCTCCCCAGGATTGGAGGATGACAGAGGTGCAGTGGGTTTTGCCATTGCCCCCTTCCTGGACCCAGGATGGCAACACTTCTCTGGGGTCCCCAGGTGGACTTTGAGGTTCTGGTTCATTTTATAGATCTGACTCCCAGCACCGCTTCTGGAAGCCCAGTGAGGTGGAAGAGGAAGTGGATAATGCAGATGTCTCTGAGATGCTCCGGAGCCGCCACATCACCTTTGCGGGGAAGTTCGAGCCTGTGCAGCACCGGTGCCGTGCCCGAAGGCCCGATGGCCGGCTCTGTGAGCGCCAAGACCGGTTGAAGGTGAGACCAGTGGCTACAGGGCCATGTGGCTTCCTTGGGCAAGGAAGACCAGGGCAGGACAGCCAGAGGGAAGTGCTGCCTCCCCAAAGTCCAACTCTTGTTCTGGGCTGGGAACTCTTGTGAGTCTTGAGGAGTTGCAGTGGGAGGGTCCTTTCTGGTGTGCAGAAATCACTTAGGAACTGGCTGTCAGAGAATTGTCTGCCATGGGCACGTGAATGGGGCACTCTGCCAGGACCAGACACTAGCATTTGTTTATGAGTTTACCAGATGTCCTTTGACAGCACCTTGAGACTTGCTCTGTGTTGGGTCTAGATTCTGCAGGATTGGGGCTGGTGAGGGGTGGGGTTCTCATCGGCCAGAGTGACATGAGGTCCCAAGTTTGTGCTGCCCACTCTGTTCCCAGATCCAGGAGGGAAGATGGAGCTGCCTCCCACTTCCCTGCAGCTCTCTGGACCCCCCCACTCTAGATGGGTGTGTGATTACAAGGTAGCTTGCACTTTGACTTTTTGGTACTGCCCCCATCTTGAGAGCTATTGTACCCAGTTAGCTATGGTCAGTGGAGATGGAGGGGCAGGTGGAGCCCCTCCCGACGGTCAGATGCTCTGTCCTTTTTGCAGTGCCCCTTCCATGGGAAGATCATCCCAAGGGATGACGAGGGACGGCCCCTTAATCCGGAGGACAAGGCACGGGAGCAGATGCAACAGCTGCAGGGGCGCCCTGGTAAGTCTGGGTGGGTAAGGCATGTGTTTTGGGGAGGTGGAGGGCTGTCTGTGTGGTCAACACGCACCTGCACCTCCAGCATGGTCTGCGGAGCCCCATTCCTTAGTCCAAACATACAGAGGCAGGTGGGGTTGGGGGACTCCTCACCAGGCCGGCAGTGATCTGGATGTGCCCATGGTCTAGAGGTTATCTGTTACATTTATGTGTTTGGGTTCTGGGTTCCTCCTCCTGCTTTCTAAGCAAATCAAGGAGCTGGGACAAGAGAAGGTAATGGCTGAACCTCGAGCCATTGACCAGAGACAGCTTATTTCTCCTAATGTTGTTACCTCGCTCTCCCTCGAGTTCTACCCTTTGTGGGTGGGGTTCTCATGTGCATATGATTGCTTTGTCCCATCCCAGGCATGCAGGTCACCCTGTGCTGGCCACCTGCTTCCCAGGTGCGACTCTCTGACCAGAGGCACTGTCCCGGGGCAGAGCTCAACCCAGCACCTTCCTCACCCTGGACTGGGCCCCCAGGCAGCTCTGATCCACCTCAGTGTTCCTTGGTTTGTCAAACCCAAGCTGAGGTTTGTGTCTGTTTTCCGGGGAACATTTGTCTTTGAAAGACTTAGAAAGCTTCGGGATCCTTTCCTTCTGGAAAGAGGACATATCTGCAGGCCTGGACCACGACAGGGGACTATGGGAGCAGCTCTGCTGGGCTCAGGGACCCATCTGTGCAGTTCTTACCATCACCCACAGGCTTTTTGCACAGTGGTCAAACAGGAGACAGATGCTGGATTTCAGCCTGGGGCCCTGGGGCCCTGAGTGGTGGCAGGGAGGGCCCTGACCTGTTAATCTTCAGGGCGAGGCCTTCCCTGGTGGCTCACACTCAGGAGCAAATTAAGTGCCTATTTTTTGTGTCAGCCCTGAAGAGTATCTGGTTTTCCAGCCCTTGGTGACTTGTTAACAAACAGGTATCAGGCCGCGGGCTGCGGGCCGGCGCTGGCCAGTCAGATGTGAAATAGCATCTCTTTACTAACTACAGTATTGATCCCCGCCTCCCTCGCACACGGGGCAATTTTCTTTTCCCTGGCGCTAACCTCGGTGACAATGCGCACAGCGCTCCAGGGCCCGTCAGTGCTCAGGAAGGCCGTGCGGCCCGGCATCTATTGATTTTCTTCAAAGGCTTTTAAATTGCTCCTTCATTTTACTGAGATGCTCATTCCATCTCTACTGGATGCCAGCATTTTTTCGTTGTGTTTAAACAATTGCTCCATTCACTGGGTTCCTAAACTGTGACGCCTTCTTATTACTGGGAGATAAACTGTTTAGACAGTTTTCCTTAATCTCGGATTAATCGTTCCTGTATCTGAATTGTGCAGCCCCGTATTCCTTCACTTCAAAATATCAGCTTGGGGAGGCCTCGCCATCCGTCTGTCTAGGGTGCGTGGCCTCATCCCTCGATGGACATGCCCAGTTTGCGGGGTCTGTGTACAGGGTCATCCTCGTTCTGGGCATTTGGGGCTGCTTTGCCACACGTTCCTGATCTGGGTACCACCCCTCAGCAAGGCAAACCAGCCCCGGCTGAGGGATCCTAACCGCAGCCATAGGGAGACAGCCAGCAGAGACTGAACTGCAGGCCTGTGACCCCTAGGGGCTCAGTGCCATTTACTGTTTTTTTCTTTAATTATTTAACTTTATTATTATTATTATTTTCCAGTTTGATCAAAGAGACAGAGAGACAGAGAGAGAGTTAGAAAGCAAGCCCCCAGGTCCGGGACTTGAACCTTGGTCAGCCATGTGGGAATCCAGCGCCTTTAATCACCACGCCACCTGCCAGCCCCAGTGCCATTTACTGTCACTGCCATCCTCAGTCCTGCATGTCAACACCTTGACCTCAGCGGGGCCCACCTAGGGCTGGCACTGCTGCTCATTAGGACATGTGGCATTTGTTTCATTGCCTGCAGGGCCTCATGGCCATGAAAACCAATGTCCTGCTTGCTTAGGAAGGACAGCGTTGTGTGGTGAACACCTGCCTCACATTTCTGGGGCCTCTGGCCAGCTTACCTTTGGACCAAGAAAAAGAAAGCCCTTTGCTGACCCTATGCCTGGCCCACTCCAACCCCTAGTTCTGGCCAGTCCCTGCTGCACACACCTGCCAGCCAGTAGGTGTGTCCACCAGGGCCAGAACTGGCCTGATGGGGCATAGTCCAGCCTGCAGGCAGGAAGTAGTGTGTGGATGGCTCCAGCCTCTCAGCCACTGGCCATGGCTGCCTTCTTGCCTTGAGTATCTATGGCTGTCCTGGGAGTGGTCTCTGGGGCCCAGCTCTGGCTCTTTCCTGACCTGTGTGGGCTGCAGAGGCTCATGGTGAGTATAGAGCAGTGGGAACAAGCCCTGTCTTGCCCTCAGACCTCAGAGGGCCAATGCACACTCCTCCTTCTGACTCTGGAGAGAAGCTGAGGCACGCAGCACAGACCTCAGGCCTACTGGTGCCAGGGAGCGGCAGTGGGCCAGCCGCTTCAGTGTCCATGAGGCCCTGCAGGGGGTGGGAGGCTTCAGATGAGACTCTAGTTGTGCCAGATGTCTTCTGAAGTCCTCGGGATTGTTCATAGACTGGCAGGATCCCGAGTTTCTGAAAGACGTGGAGGCAGCCACCGGGCAGGACCTCGGCTCGTCCAGGTACAGCGGCAAAGGCAAAGGGAAGAAGAAGAAGAAGAAGTACCCCAACCTCACAGACCTGAGGCAGCAGGCCAACACCTCCCGGGCGCGTATTGGGAAGAAGGTCTTCGCCAAGTAAGAGCTGCTCGTTGAGCTCCCTCCTCCCAGTCCCCATGGGGGGTGTTTTGGGGAAAACCAACTGGGTTCCAGCATGTCCAAGGACCAAGGGGCCACTAGGGATGCCCCCTGCTGTGAATGACCCTTAAGCCTGCTTCCAGGGCTTTGAATGGTCCCAACCAGCAAGGGAGCAGTGGGGGCTGGTCAGCAACCAGCACTGGAGCTAGACACCTCTACGTTTTCCCCATAAATGGCACCCCAGCCACTGGTAGCAGTTGGGTGCAGTGGGCAGAGTGAGCCCTACATCTCGTCCTCGCCCATCTGACCCAGAAGGGCCCAATGCCGACCTGGATATGCCCCCAGGTCAGTGCCCACAGGCATCCCACTGGTGACTCAGGGAGGGTGGTTACAAAGGCTGACTCGATGGGGACTGCTGCTCCTGGCAGCCCCAGGGGAGCTTGGCCTTGGTGCCCCCAGGAAGACCAGCCACAGTGTTGCTGCAGCCCAGCGTAGCTGTGGGGGCCTCAGCAGGGTCAGAGTGGAAAGGCCACCCAGTACCCCGGTGCCCATTGTCCAGAGCTACTGGCCACCGGAAAGGTGGGGCTTTTATCTTCTCGTTGACTTGTTCTGACACAGAAAATATTTAATATATGTTTTGAAAGCCTATGAAACTGTTGCCTCCCATCTCAGATTAAGCCAAGGCCTTGCAAGTACCAGTTTGTTTGCAGTGACAGTGAGGCAGCCATAGCTTGTCAACTGTCCCCAGAGGTCCTCTGACCAGGATGCACTCTGAAGGTGTGGTGCACTCTGTCAGAGGAGACCACTTCCTGCTCTCCTGGCTGGTGTTGCCACATACCCAGTCCGGGTGGGTTGAACAGGAGGGCAGCCCCTATGGCATTCACATGCAGCTTCTGTGGGCCCCACGCTCTCTGACCTCAGGGACTGAGCAGCTCCCACCTTGCTGGGGCAGAGGGGTCCATGTAGGCTGCAGGGAGGCTCCCGTGGCACTTAGTACAGGGTGGGCCCCAGCACACCCCAACAGAACCCCAGCATCACATCCACCAGTCCAGAGAGGGCCTGGCCACTCTACTCTGAAGTTGTGAGGTTGGTTTCCTGTGGATCAGCCAGGTGTAAAGTGGGGAAGGGCACCCTGGATGCTGAAGCTCAGCAGGAGTGATAACAGAGGGTCTTTCATGGCTGCAGTCCTCCTTGCCCTCCCACTGGGGACAATGAAGACAGTGGTTAGAATTTGCCTCTTGCAGCAGCTGTGTGGCCTGGAGCCCTCCATGCAGAAAGGATCTTGGGTGACCACAGGCAAGCCCTGCCTTGGAGGATGGCAGAGCCCTCATAGCAGTACCTGGGCAGGGTACTGGGGACCAGGGACCACAAGGCATAACCACATCATGGCCTCAGGTTCTGCTGGATCCAGATCCTTGGGCATCATGGCATCAGAACTGGTATGCATGGCATACCTGGTCCTGCTCCTGGGGCAATCAGGAGGCCATGACCATGCATGCTGTGAACCGTCTTCCCCACACCCCTCGGTACCAGGGCCTGTGTGTGGCAGTGCAAGTGGGGTAGTGTGAGTCTCTGACTGCATTTGTCTGCGTGACTCTTCTCCATGAAGTCAGTGGGCAGGCTGTTCCTTATTTAGGGGCATAGCCCAGTGCTGGAAAGATTGGGAGGCCCAGAAGTTGCCATCAAGAGCAAGGATGCCACAGAAGTGACAGGGCCCAGCTGGGGCCACCTTCACCTGGGGGCCCACTATGGACGTAAGCCCTGAGGCCAGTGAGCTCTGGCTCTCTCACCTTCTTTCCAGTGACAGGGCTGGGGTCCATTGCCCATCTGCCCTAAAGGAGTGCCCATAGGTAAGTCTGCAAGTACTCTGCATCAGTTGCCCCAGGACCAGTGCCCAGTCCCAGTGAGGCCACAGTCAGGAGCCTAGGTTCCTAGCCAACCCCCCGGTCATGTCTTGCTTTGCTTTCCCCACAGGACTGCTGTACGGAGGGTGATCACAGCCATGAACCGGATGGACCAGAAGAAGCATGAGAAGTTCTCAAACCAGTTTAACTATGCGCTGAACTAGGGGCTGGGTCAGGTGTGCTGTGGTCCCTTCTAGTCGTCTGCAACTCTTTCAAAAAAAAACCTCTGTCAGTGCACTAGGACAGGAGAGTGGGTACAGGTCTGGCAGTAACTGTGGCCTGTCCCTTATGATGTATATTTAATGCAAGGAAAAGGAGCGTCAAAATGCTCTGGAGGTATGCCCCCTACCCTGCCGTGGGGGCCACCATCATCTGGTTAAGGTCTGTCCTTGCAGAATAGGCCCCTGGAGCCGAGGGATGTGGACGTGGGCAGCATATCCCAGATGGGACTCTGCAAGCTCTCACAAGGCCTATGTTTTGTGAGCTGCTGTTCAGAATCGATGGACTGTCCGCAGCTCTGTGTTTGGAACAGGCCGCCCCCGCCAATCCTCGCCTCCTCCCCAGGAGGAAAAATCTACACGTCAGTGCAGTTGCTGTTTTCAGTGCAAACACAGAGGGTGGCACATGATTCACCGTTTGCACCTTGTATTTCCAACCTCCTAAGACATCTTGGTGATAGATCTGCATCAGAACACACAGAACTACCTCACTCTTTTTGGTTTTTCAGTAATGTTTTTATTGAAATATAACTCACATACCACAAAATTTACCCTTTTAAAAAGTGTCAATTTAGTGATAGTAAGTAAAACTACCGTAAGTACTTCTAGAACTTTGTATCACCCCGAAAGGAAACCTGGTATCCATTAAACATTTATTCCTCTTTACCCCCCTCCCCAGTCCCTCACAGCGACTCAGCTACTGTTCCTGGATTTTCCTTTTCTGGGCATTTCATAAGGATGGAATCATTGACAATGTGGCCTTTTGTCTACCTTTTTTTTTTTTTTTTTGTCATAGATTGCGTGTGCTCGCCAGAGAGAAACAAGGGAATGGGAAAGTGAGAAATCATCCCATGCGGGGATGGCCATGCCACAGTCTCTTCACCTCCATTCTTCTCTCAGGATTTGGGGCACACACATGCACACACCGAGTCTGTTTTTTAAGCCCCTGGGTCCAAGAGTCATGCAGAAAAATGCAGTCAGGGACTCACACTACCCTACTTGCACTGCCACACACAGGCCACATGATCAGCCATGAGATGGCAACTGCTGGGCCTCCCAATCTTTCCAGCACTGGGCTATGCCCCTGAAAAAGGCACAGCCTGCCCACTGACGTCATGGAGAAGACTCATGCAGACACGTGAGATCCAGCACACCGATGCCTGCTGGCCCATGTCTGGCTTCTTTACAAGGTTCTTCCAGATTGTAGCATGTATTGATACTTCATTCCTTTTTGTTGTTTAATAATATTTTAGTGTATAGGTGTACTACATTTTATTTATCCATTCGTCGCTGTCATTTGAATTGTTTCACTTTTGGGCTATTATGAATAATGCTACTAAGAACATTAGTGTACGTGTTTTCATGTAGGTGTATGTTTTCATTTCTTTTGGATATATCCCAAAAGAAATTGCTGGTTTATATATTGGGTTGTCAGAATAACCATGACGTATTTTTGCATCATGACTTTTCCAACGACCCAATAGTAAACTCTGTGTTTAGCTTTCTGGTGAATTGCCAATGTGGTTTCCAAAGCAGCTGTACTATTTTGCATTCCCACCAGCAGTTTATGAAGGTTCCAGTTTTTCTACAGACTTGACAACATTTGCTTTGATTTTTTAAAAATTTTAACCGTCTTTGTGGATGTGAAGTGGTATCTCATTCTGGTTTTGGTTTGTATTTTTCTAATGACATCGTGCACCTTTTCATGTAGTTATTGGCCATTTGCATTGGTTTGTCGGAAAAGTCATGACGCATTTTTGCATAGAAAAAAATATGTCATGACTTTTCTGATGACCCAGTATATCTTCTTTGGAGAAATGTCTATTTAGATCTCCCATTTTCATTTGGATTATTTGTCTTTGAATTGTAAGAACTTCTTTAGATTATTTTTTAGAAGTTTATTTCATGAAAGTGTGAGCGATAAAGACAAACACCCCAACAGAGTCTCTTGCCAGGATCCTCTCCCCAGCTTTCCCAGCCAGGATAACAGAACCATTTACACTCACCCAAGATGTACAGGTTGACCCAGGAAATGAATCCCAATCTTCCATGTGGCTCCAGCGTCAGAGAGTGCCAGATTACCACTGTGCCTCCATGGCTGAGCAAGAAGTTGTTTTTATATCATGAATATTAGACCTTTATATTGCTAAATATTTTCTCCCATTCTTCTTTCTCTCTCTCTCTTTCTCTCTCTCTCTCTTTTGTATATTTTATTTTCTGGTTTTTGCCATAGGGCATGTGTGCTCGTGTGGGGTGGGGAGCGTGAGAAATCACCCCCCAGCAGGGATGACCAGCTATAGTCCTTTCTCCTCTATTCTCCTCTCAGGATTTTGGGCACCATGCACATGTACCCTGCATGATTTTCAAATCCCCAGGACTGGGAATCAAACCACAGTTGGCCATGTGAAAGTCCAGTGCCTTAACCTGGTGACCCACTTTTGAAACACAAAAGTTAATTCCAATGAAGTGCAGTTTTTTTTCTTTTGTTGCTTGTGCCTTGGATGTCACATCTAAGACACAATCGCCTAATCAAGGTCACAAAGACTCACTCTTGTGTTTACTTGTATTTTCTTCTAAGAGTCTTAAGTTTTTTGTTTTGTTTTGTTTTGTTTTTTAATTGCCAGACACTTTGTGCACTTGCCGAAGAGAAAAAGGGAGAAAGCATCCCCACATAGGTTGTGGACCTACCGAAACGTCCACAGACCTTTCTCCCTTCATGTCTCTATCCTCTCAGGATCTGGGGCATACATATACCTGGCATGTTCTCTGTGTGTGTGTGTGTGTGTGTGTGTGTGTGTGTGTGTGTATTGGTTTGTTTATTTATTTATTTATTTTAAAGAGGGATTTTGCCCTAGGACACGTGTACTCACTGATGAGACAGAGAGATAGAAAGTGAGAAATCACCCCTCTGGAGAAGAATGACCACGCAGCAATCCCTTCTCCTCCGTTCTCCTCTTGGGATTTTGGGTACACACATACATGTGCCTGGTGTGAATTTTTAGCCACCAGGTCCAGGACTCAACCGTAGTCATGTATGTGGGAATCCAGTGATGTAACCACTATGCCATCTGCTGGTTCCACCTGGTGTGTTTTTCAAGCTGCGGAGGTCTGGATTCCAACTGTAATCAGCCGTTGGGATCCAGCTCCCCATGCACAGGGCTTACTTGCTATGCTATGGGGGCTGGCCCAGTTTAAGCTCTTAAGTTTAGATCTTTGATCCATTTTGAATTAAGTCTTACGTGTAGTGTGAGCGGTAGGAATCCAGCTTCCCTCTTTCGCATGTGAATATACAGCTGTCCCAGTACTGTTTGTTGAGAAGAGTATTCTTTCCCTGTTCAGTTATCTTGGCACTCATACTGATAACTACTTGGCCATAAACGTACAGATTTATTTTTGGACTCTCACTTCTGATATGTTGGCCTAAATATCCTTTTGCCAATACTACAGTATCTTGATTAATGTAGCTTTGTAGTAAGTTTTGAATTCAATGTGTATGAGTCCTCCAACTTTGTTCTTTTTCTGTTTTTTGGAGAAGTTTTTGCTATAGGGAGCATGCACTCGCCAGGAAGACAGACAGACAGAGAGACAGAAAGCGAGAAGTCACCCCCCAGGGGGTGTGGCCACACCGCAATCCTTTCTCCATTCTCCTCTGGGGATCTTGGACACACACGCACATACGTCCAGTGTGAGTTTAAGCCACTGGGTCCAGGACTCAAACCGTGGTCAACTCCATGGGAGTCCAGCAACATAGCCATTACGCTAACTGCTGGTCCTCCAACTTTGTTCTTTTTCAAGATTGTTTTGGCTAATCTGTTCCTTGCATTTCCAAATGAATTTTAGGGTCAGATTGTCAGTTTCTGTAAAAATAGCAGCTGAAATTTTGGTAGGAACTACATAGAGTTGATAGATCACTTTCGGAAGTATCACCATCCTAGTAATGAATTTTCTGATTCATGAACTTCTGATATCTTTGCATTTATTTGGGTCTTCTTTAATTTATTTCAACTGTGTTTTGTAGATGTCGCACTTATTAAATTTATGCCTAGGTGTTTTATTCTTTTTTTTTTCTTTTTTTAGTTTTTGCTATAGGGCACATGTGTTCTCTAGAGAGGGAGAAAGGCAGGGAGGGGAGTGAGAAATCACTTCCTAAGGGGCTGGCCATGCTGTAATTCTTTCTCCTCCATTCTCTGGTATTTGGGGCATATACACACTCAACGAGTATGATTTTTAAGCTGCACAGTCCTAGACTCAAACCACAGAGTTGGCCATGTGGGATCCAGCTGCCTTAACTTCCATGCCACCTGGTGGCCTGAATATTTTATACTTTTTAATACTTTGTAAATGTAATTATTCTGTGAATATCATTTTTGATTGCTCATTACTGATGTGTAGAAATAAAACTAATATTTGTTTGTTGATCCTATATCAGGAATGTTGAGTGTGTGCGAGTATTCCTTAACAATTTTCTATACACAGAATCTTATCGGCAAACAAAAACCTTTCATTTGTTGTTCAGTCTGGATTCCTTTCACTCATCCTCTTACATAGTTGCCTCATCCTTCAGCACAGTGTTGAATAGACTTTGGTGGAATAATGGTGGAATTAGCCGGTAAAGCCATCTGATCCCTTGGGCTTTTCTTTGTGGAGTTTTTTTTTTTTTTTTTTTTTGGGGGGGGGGGGTGTTTTCCTGGCTACCTGACTGGAGCTTGTGCTGTAGGGCACATGTACTCACCAGAGAAACAGAGAGAGACAGATTGACCACACTGCAATCCCTTCTCCTCCCCCTCCTTGCAGTATTTTGGGCATACATGCTGAGCGTGACTTTTAAGCCTCCAGGCCCAGGACCCAAACTGCAGTCAACTACATGGAAATCCAGTGCCTTAACCACTACACCACCTGCTGGACCCTGTAGAATTTTTTTATTATTACTTTTTATTCAATATCTTTACTTCTTATAG